AGCATGATATCAGAAGATGCCATGGACTATGACAATTTAAAAGTGGCATTGCTGAAACACTATGAACTTACTGATGATGATTTTCATCGGAAGTTCAGAGAAGTCAAACCTGACACTGGAGAAACTGTATTTCAGTTTATGACACATCTACAGTGATACTTTACAAGATTGACTGACATGGCCAAGTGTTAAAATAGTTTTGAAGGATTGCCAGATTTGCTAATACGTGAACAGTTCATGATCACATGCTCAACTGAAATGTCACTGTACCTCAAGGAGAAAGCACCAAAAGATGTGGACAAGTTGATCAAGCTGGCAGATCAATATGTGGAAGTCCATGGAGGGAGTATAACTGGCAAGTCCAAAAATAACCAGTTAATGTTGAAACCAGTGGTGGCTGACCAGAAGCAGGATTCCAGCAAAGGTGACAGAAGGTTAACAGACAAAAGAAAGAAGGATGCTACGCTTGTTATAAAATGGGGCACATTACAAGGGAGTGTAAATCCATTACCAACAAGCAACAACAAAAATATCAACATAAAACAGTTGGAGCTACCTGCAAAGATAGTATTGTAAAGAAATATGAAAAGAGTGACTGTCACCATGGATGCTGCCACCAGAAGAAAGAGTAAAGAAACAAGACATCAGATTCACCGCAAGAAGGAAATGCTATCTCCATGATTAAACAATGCATAACTGATTGTCAACTCAAGTTAGCAAATGGATCAACAGGACCAATAGTGATTAGAGTATGTGACAAACATCGAGAGTTGCAAACAAATCAGAACATACCAGTAAGTGAAGGCTATGTCAGGGACCAGAAAGTGAAAATCCTACAAGGCACTGGGCACAGTAGTGCAACAGTGAAAGCCAGTCTAGTATCTGATGATCAGATGATAGGCAAGATACATCTGTGTGTGTATTGAACAACTTGTCTGTGACTTAAGTTATGCCACATTGATCTGTCTGTAGCGTTTGGAGAGCATAAAAAAATCTTGTGGTTGTATTGATTACCCCAGAGCGCAGGTTAGCACAGTTGAAAGATAACTTCTAAGAATTTCTTTAGAAAAGTAACATTCTAGACTTGCTTGACAATAGAGTTCGTCCTATACACCGAACCTCAAAGAAATACACTTGTTCAAAAAATCCAGGGTCGTGTTTGTTTTAAGTTTCGCGCAAAGTTACACGAAGGCTATCTGCGCTAGCTGTCACTAATTTAGCAGTGAAAGACTAGAGGGAAGGCAGCTACTCGTCACCACCAGCTCGTGGGATACTCTTTTTACCAACGAATAGTAGGACTGACCGTACATTATAATGCCTCCATGGGCGAGCATGTTTTGTGGGACGGGGATTCGAACCCGCGACCCTCAGATTACGAGTCAAGCGCCCTAACCACCTGGCCATGCCGGGTCACAAACAGTAAGTCTACGGACTTACAACGCAAGAAATCCAGAATTCGTTTCTCGGCGATGAACACAGTAGATAGCCCGATGTGACTTTGCTCTGAAACAAACAAAACAAAAATCCTTTTCTGTATTAGAAGTTAGCAATAAATCTTAAATGGTATTATTCCAAGAAGGTCCCCTGACCAGTTGTTGAAGAAAACCAACGCGAACGGTTTCTATATTCTACAAACGTGTCTCCTTCATAATTTAACTGACATATCCCGATCTATGTGCCTGAAATTAAAATCCCACATAATTATGACTTCTGAACACCTTTAATGAGTCTAGGGTAACCAGACGTCCCGGTTTTATGATAAATAAAGATATCAAACTGTCAGTCACATCTAATCACAAATGTTGTTGGCCTACTTGACCTGTTTATTGTTATAACATGTACTCTTCTGCCGCCAAACTCTCTCGAAACTTCCGTCTGAAAAACTCAGGTCTGCGCAGGTGTGAATGTGGAGACAGTTTAAGGCAGTGCTCATCGTGAAAATACACTGTACACAGTCATGTACTAAATTTTACGACTATTTAATGAAAACAAAAATATAATTTTTACGTTCCATTCATTCATCACAAAAATGTCTTAAAAAGTTTAAAAGTAATGCTAAAACCTAAAATATGTAATACGTTTGAAAATTTTATGAATTCTTTAATAAATTCAGGTACGAAGTAGCCTATTTTAACACGGCTTAAATATTTATTGAATGTTTAATTTGACTGTTTGTTTTGTGTCTATAACCAAAACAAAGTAGTTGAAATTAGTTAAAAAACAATGCAAATGTTAATATATTTGGAAGTAGTGTGTAACAGCTCAATAAATTTAAAATGGATTAAATAAAAATTTGATTATTTCAAATTTACAATAACCTTTCAAAATTAGGGGCAAGGGCTGGGCTGTTCCGGTTTTTCGGTTTGGAAATCTGGTCACCCTATCAAGGACGTCGAACCATGTTCAAAGATATAGAATACAGCAGTTTCGCTTGGAAGGAGAATGAATTATACAAGTTATGCATATAAAGTATATTTTGTTTAGTCCCAATCTGCTATTTCAGTTAGTAAGGTATAGGTGGAAGCTGTGAGAATTTCACACATATAGTTGATTGTATTAACGTACAGGTGGCAGCAGCGAGAATTTTTCTTCTAAATGATTATACTAATATTTAAGTAACTAAAGCCAAACTCGACAATATATAATATTTTAAGTTATATAATATCCTATTTGATGTCAAAAATTGTGTTCTTGAAAATGATACAGAGTTTGAATACGTTATACTAAAACTATTTTGGAGCCTCACCATGTTGTTACAGACCATGTCGCCACGTTTGGGCATGTTCTATTTGACGACCGTGGAACTTGAAAATAACCCTGTAGTGCACTTTCTATTCCAAAAGGCTCCAATCTCAAGCTTTCGTGTCCCAAACACATTCCTCCTCCCTGATGGATTCCTATAATCCAACTGAAAGTTTGTGAACACCTGTTTCAATAGTCCGATTTTTGAGAAATCCACAGGCGATTTGACCGGTATGTCTTCGTATGAATACACATTTCATTCTCTTTCAAACCAAGATCCTTCTTAATAATTCTAATTTTGTCTGAGAAACGTGGGCGGGATTTTGTCACTTACCTTTGTGTTCGTGGATTCTTACCTGTTACAAGATGCCGCACGTTGCTTACCACGGCCGGAGCATAACTTTTTACAGATCTCTTTCTATATGGTCTTGCTGCACCAAGTTGATCCATAATTCGTTATTTTCCCATGCCAAAATCTAAACACGTTAAAAATTTTTTGCATGAAAATAATTGTTTATAAAAAAAGATACAAAATTGGTTTGCATAAAGAGTAATTTTGTAAGAAAACGTGTAATTTCTTTATAGTATTTTCACTGAAGCTTAAATATTACCAGTATATGTATTTTGAATTCATTTTCCAAAATAATTATGAAATGGTCATGAAGTCGTTATGCACTATTCTAAGAAGAATAACAACACCAAATTAAGAAGTGTTGAATTGAGTTTATGAAAATAAACGCATTGTTTCACACATTTTAGTTACATTTATTTTTAGGTAATTAACAGAAAGGTAGAAACTCATTTTTAATAGTTTGTGTATGTTTAATTATTAGTGCCACGGAAATATCGATATATATATATATATATGTGTGTGTGTGCAACGCTAAAATCCGTGATTCGTTACCCCTCGGTGGACACAGCTAATATCCCACTGTGGCTTTGCTCCATAAAGACAAACACGCACACACACACACACATATATATATATATATATTCATACAAATCATTTGATTGAAGAAAGAAGAAACATGCATACAGGGAATAGGGTAGAATATGCTCATTAGTTGGAAAATTGAAATGAAAATGAAATATTGTAAAAGGATATATTTCCATGATAGCACATATCTCAGCAGTGTATATTCTTATCTAGAGATGGCACTGCAAGCGCTTATACGTTGAAGTTTTTGAAAATTTAGCTATTCGCTGACGTTCAAATATTTAATATTGATAACTTAAATCGCATCTGATGTCCCATATATTAACAGTGACGTACACAGAGGTGTATGAGTTAGGCTCAAGCCCTTGCCTTCCTGCCCTCAAAGTGCCCTCTTTTCTCTGTCATAAAAATCGTCAACAACTACGAAAAGATACACCTGATGTCACATCTTACTTGTTGCGAGTTATTAGGAAAAAATAAAAAAATTCAGTGTCAAAATGAATTGAACATAGAGACTTGTAAAATATATATATATTTTATAATATAATATATAATATATAATATATTTTTTATGTTATTAAGTGTTAATACGCAATGTTATATTTAGTTTTAGATCATAGAAATGTTTATAAGTCCAATTTAAGAGGATCTGTTTGCTAGTTGGTTTTTAACCCCATGTGTATAAGATGCATACCACAGTCTCCATATGTATATATATGCATATACAGGGGGGATTACCCCCCAAATCAAATGAAACAAAACGAAAACGCTTGTGATGCTCCAAAATTGCCCTTTTTGTCAATGAGCCCCTGACCTTTCAATGTTCTTTAGACGTTACTGCATGTTAATATATATATTTATGTCTCTGTGTGTAGTATTTGTCTAATTTTAAATTTAACGTTATCCTCAACAAAATGTATCTATATTATTTGCAAATAACTTGAATTTCGAATGTTGCTCAAACTATGTTTCTTTTATAAGTGAATAATAGAATTTAAAATAATGTATCATTGTTCGATTTCATGATTTCGTGGTAAAACGCATTTGCTTTTTGGTTTAAACGTAAATAAGTATTTAATACATTTGTTTTAGAACTTATAAGTATAAGTGTCTATTTTTCATTTTTACACTTGCAGGAACACCTTGTTAAAATGACGTAATATTGAGTATTATTAATTAATAGAGATAATATACTGTAATTACTTTCGGTAATATGATTGGTCGTGAAGGTGTGACGTTCATTGTAAATATTTACAGTAGCGTGGATGAGTCACACAGTGCATGCTCACAGAGTACGGTATCTGACAGACATTTCCCCGAAGTGGGAGTATCCACAAGTAAGTTGGATGAAATATTTTCTTTTGAATCAAAATATAATATTTGAAATAGTACATCACGTGTAATTATTTGTTACGCTTTTTATTAGAAAGTATTTTAGTTAGGGACTTTAATAGTTCTGTGATTTAAACTAAATCAAAATGGTCTTGATTCATGACATTAGTTGAGTTTGACATGATCATGGCCTCTTGGGTAAGCGTTCTGTAACACTAACAGTATGAAAGAAAGCATCTGTTAGTAATCTCACCGTTTCTTTGCTTTCAAGCAAGTACTATTTGTAGTAGTAGTAGTGGCATAGACACAAAAGTTAGGGTGGTGTTTTCTAAAACTTTCACACCTCTGAGCTTTCAGTTTTAATGTACACTAACAGAATATATATATATTGTATTTGTAACTTGTATATATTGTTGGATTAGGTAAATTTTTATTGTTTATGAATGATGCTGAGGCTGCTTTCATGGTTTATTAACCTCTGATGAAATCTAATGAGCCAAACTTGGAGGTCAACATTATACTAATAATCCACTAATATTAAGCATCTTCCATTAAACTTGTGATAAGATAGTTTTGCTATCTGCATTTAAAATATCACCCTCGACCATTAATTATGTGACAACCTAGAGTGTCACCTTTTTAAATTTCAGATATTTCAGTCAACCATTAAATGTATGCCAAGAGAGAGTTTTAATTTCCAAAATTTCAAACACATAAAATAATGTTTTAGGGACAACAAGGGACCTATTGGCCCATCTCGGTTGTCCTATCCTCTAAACTAAACTTAAACTATCAAATAAATAAATTAAGAAAAAAAAATCTTAAAGCCAGCCCATATCATTCATATAATTATCAAGCTTTCTCTCAAACTCACATAAATTTACTGCCTCCACAATAACTGAAGGCAACTCATTCCAGATAGCAACCACCCTCTTAGAAAAAAAAACTGTCTTAGTTGAAGATGACTGCTGCCTTGTCAAAATTTATATTTGTGTCCCCCTAGTCCTACTATTCTCACTGTTAAATATGAAAAA